ACAGAATAAATTGTCATTCGCTGTGAGTGCTATTTTTGAGTCATGCTCACTGCCTCGCTTTTCCGCTGGACCTATATGCTGTAAAGCAGAAGACCCACGGCATATTGCTAGTAAAAAAACGTTCCCAACTTTTTTGTTGATATTTTGTTTCCTGCATTTTAATCTATTCTTGTACAGTATTATTTATTCGAATCATTTGTTATCGTTAGTTTAATGCATTTCCTATTTATATAGATCCCTAGTTTCTCCTCCGCCATTTGGTTGACGTAGCTTTCCGAAAATTGAGCATAATCCTAGCTTGCGAGAAATCGACTTTTGGCTTCGGATAAGCTCTTTTTTCATGCCCAATCCCATCACAACCCTTCAGCCCTATTCCTAATATGGCGCAAATGTTTCCACTTAAAAATGTGGTTATTTAAATCTCATTGATACCAATTACTGAAACAGAAGTGATAAAAGTTATCATACTTTAGAGGGAACTAATCCTGCTCAGGACTTATTTATATCTAACTTTTAGCATCTTATCCAGGTGACAAGAGTATTGATGCCATTTTATCAGACCTCATTTGAGGCTCCTTGTTCTATTTTATACAACCAAGAAACAGAAAACTCTATCACCTTTAGTTAGGCCTGCATGCCAACTTACGACTAGTTTATTTAAAATAGTGCAATATTCATAACTGGCTGATTGTTCATGTGAATAGATGGAAAAGTGAGTTTCTACATTCTACTATGCAAGATATTGAATTATCTTTTGTCTAAGAGGGCAGGAGTTAGATACTCTCTGCCAGGATTGAAGTTCGTTTCGTACGTTTGCTGCTTACGTTTTGTGTTAGGTCATTTAATTTAATGCTTTCATCTAAATATGATTTTCTTGCACCCATTTTGTCATATAGCTCAGGACCATATTTCTGCTTTGGTAGGATTGGCACACAAAACGATCTTTGTCACAATTTTTCCTCTCCATAGGCTCTGCTCGCTCGTTGGTACAGCACATGTGGTTGACCTTTAAAGGCAAATACTGTGTTTTTTATGCTCACTATTCGTTCACGATATTCCCTCTTCAGTTTACGTTTACATTTCCAGAAACGTCTTTGAAGTCGTATCCTCGAAAAACTTCTTTTGCTGTAGTTTTAGGTTTCTCGTATAGATTGCCTATCTCTTTAAGCTACTGGTTCTGCGAAAAGGTCTCTTAAGATTTTGTTAATTAGCCTGTTGTCCATCTAATAGCCACCCAATTACCATAGAGGTTAATATGTTTAACAATTTAATATCCT